AGAACATACAAATACACTTGTAGAACCATTGTCTGCCCACCCTATACATGGTCTTGGGTACACGCCCCGCTGCACAGACATACCTAATGTTCAGCCTGTCCATCTATCTGTCCACTGTATACCCATGTTTGCCTTCACTGACAACTCAGTACTTTGTTGCCTGCACCTCCCAGATACCTCTCTATGTCTTCCTCTTCCTCAATGCCACCATGTTGATCTCTGCTTGTGTTTTATTTATATTTGACAGTGTATTTATGCCATGAATTAGGGCCCCTAAATCTGTCCCTTTTTTTTTTTAAATGATCTCTGTAGATTTAGATTTTACACTTAGGTCCACCCTGAGTGCCCTTTTGTATCTGGTGTGAGCAATAGGTCGTGCTTCATTTTTCTTCAACGACATACTGGACGAGGGACTAATTGCTAGAATTCACAGAAAACTTCAACAAGTCAACAACAAAAAGACAAGCACCCAATTAAAAAATGGGCAGAGAACAAGACCAGACACTTCAGCAAATAACACACTCAGGCAACCAACAAACTTGGGAAGAAATGCTCACAATAATTAAAGAGATGAAAATCAAAACAACAATGAGATTTCATCTCACTCCAGCATTAATAGCAAAGCTTAGCAAGACAGAAAACAAAGGCTGGAGAGGGTTGGAAAGACTGGAACCTTCATACACTATTGGTGAAGACTGTAAAATGGTACAACCATGGTATGAAAAATGGTATGGCACTTCCTTAAAAGCTGGAAACAGAAGTATCCTATGGTCAGCAATCCCACTACTAGGTGTACTTCCTAGAGGAGTAAGAGTCATGTCATGAACAGATATATGCATACCCACGTTCATCACAGCACTATTCACAACAGCAAAAAGATGGAAGTAACCCAAATGCCCATCAATGGATAAATGGATAAACAAACTACACACAACAGAATACTATGCAATGTTAAAGAACAACAAGGAACCTGAGAAATGTCTCATAACACGCTAAGGAAAACTAGTCAATCACTAAAGCACAAATACGGTGTGAGACCACTACTGTAAAAAGTCAAGAAAAAGTTCACACACAAAAGGAAATAGTCTTTGATGGTTACCAGGGGTGGGAGGGGAAGGGAGGATAAACCACTAACTTGAGGTAGACACACATTAACTTGCGTGAAAGGGAAGGCAACATACAATAAGGGGGTGATCTGTATTAGAGATTTGTTAAATTTAAAAATGTGAAAAAAAATAAAAATCAATAGCCTGTGATTTAGGCACAAGTACAACAGATGTTTAGAATTGGTTTAATATTTAAATATATTGGGAAAAAAAAATTTTTCTTCCCTGACTGGGTGATAGTCAGAACTTTGTTTCCCTGGAATTAGTTAACTTTTTGTTTGTTTTCAATAAAGTATTAACTTAAAATAATAATAATAATAATAAAGCTAATAAAAGAAAAAAAAATAAGACTAATTGTTTGTTGAGTTTCCAGTAAAGGAAAAGCCAGTTTTGTCAAATAAATCTCTTTGCAATAAGCAACTTAAATTATATTCTTTAAATCTAAAAATAACACCAGTAAATTCCCTCCCCTTTCCCCGTTTCTGCCCCCCAGAAAGGGTGAAGAGCTCATCTTCGGACTTGGGCACACGAATACTTTAAACAAAAAAAAAAGTCAAGTTTCTTAATAGGAGAACTAACTAATCTTAGAAGGTGGGATCTGGGGTTGGGACCTATCGTGAGAACTATGGGGCCACAAAGGAAGGCAGGACCAGGGTCTTTAAGTGTCATGATGAG